GATCTGAACAGACATTTACCAAAGAAAGTACACAGATGGCAAACAGTCATCACATGTAAAGATACTCAACATTATTAAATAGAAAAATCAAACTAAAACTGCAATTTAAATTACATACTCATTAGAATAGCTGCAATAAAAAAGACTGACCATATCAAATGATATAGTTGAGATATCTGTCTCCCTCAAGGCAAGTGTTGAAAATTGATCCCTAATGTTGGAGGTGGGGCTTGGTGGGAGGTGGGGCTTAATTTGAGTTATGGGGAGGGATCTCTCACAAATGACATAGAACACTGTTCCCAGTAGTGGGTGAGATCCTGCCCTATTGCCCCTGCAAGAACTGATTGCTAAAAAGAGCCTGACAACCCCTACTTTTTCTCTTGCTTCCTTCTCACCATGTGATCAGTACCTTCCACCTTCACCTTCTGCCATGAGTGATAGTAGCCTGAGTCTCCTGCCACAAGCAGATGTACTTGTACAATCTTCTTGTACAGCCTGCAGAACTGAGGGCCAGATAACATCTCTTCTTTATACATTACCCAGCCCCAGATAATTCCTTTATAGCAACACAAAAAGCACTAAAACACCAGGTGCTTGTGAGCATGAAGAGTGGCATAAAATAAAGCCTATGAGCCAGTAAAGCTGACGTGATTGGGGACCTTGATAGCCGGTACGGACAGCAGGCCACAGGGCATCACCAGAATGTCTTGAGTGGGCCAAAGAGACGGTCTATGGTATTGGGTGTCATGTTCTCAGGGTAGACTGAAGGAAAAGAGAAGCTGGTGAGTGGAAGCAGCAGTAAGTGGCACCAGGAATTTCATAAAGATGTAGAAAGGTTAGGTCCTAACACAGGTGGAGGATCCACCAGGGCTCACCCGTTCAGGAATTCTCATAGGAAAAGAAAAAAAGATGTTTAACCAAGGGAGTTGCCACATGAAGCATGTGCATCATTATCTGCATATCTCAATGGGGATGCCCAGGAAGGTGTAAACTGAAAATTAAATACTAAGGGCTGCCTGGCTCCCACAGCAAGTGAATGGACCCCTCCTGGCCAGAGGAACCCCGGAGAAACCTTCAAAACTGAATCACAGCCACCACGGGACAGCAGGCTGGACACACCTCATCACATTCCTTCCCTTTTGCAGTTCAAACACAACTGACCTGCCTTAATGTTAAAATGGAGATGAGACAGACACAATGGACTTTTTGTAGCAATCAGATACCAAACTACACACAAGTCAGCAAGAGAAGAGCCGGCTGCAAGGAAACAAAGGGTTGCTGAAGATTTTGTAGGATGGTGCTTGTGCTGCAGACAGCTATGTGCAATACTGATAATGCCAAGGTTGCAGTGACGTAACTTGCATCTTTCCATCAGCTGAGGGTCTGGTGATCACTGGGTGCAGGAAGATTGTGTTATTTGTGCAGGAGGGCTACGTGTCCTAGACCATGAAGAAAGGCAGACTTAAAGCTTATCTGTTTTTTCTTTTTGCTTTCCCCTGGTCCTGCCATCCTAACTCCTTTTCCCTAATTAGGACTCCACATTTCCCCTCTAACATAGCAACAATGACAAATCTTTAGCATGTGAGTTAAAGTCTCATCTTCCAACTGCTTCCTACTGACTAGGGGTATAGAGTTGGCCCTACTTAAGATTGTTGGCCTGTCAGGAGGCTATATAGACCTAGATCCCTGGGTTGGGATCTAAATTGGGCAGGGTCACTGTGGGACTATGGGAGAACAGCATCTGCAGCCTAAAAAAGACTATTCTCTCCCATTTGAAGGGTCTTGACACCCTCATCAAAATTTGGCACCTACTCAATTGACCAAGGATGTATGGTTTTATTTCTGAATTGTCTATTCCATTGATCAACATAAAAAGATGTTATATGAGATAACTGTGGATAAATTAATTATGGACTGGAAATGAGATAATATTAAAGTATTATTGTGTTAGGTGTCATAATTATATTGTGGCTATGTAACACATTTTACTTATTTTTTATATTTAATAAAATATTCAATGATGGAGTGACATGCTAAGAACTTCCTTTTAAAAATGACAGCCAAAAGTACTCTTTAAAAGGTCAGAAATAAAGAGGATAGATGAATTAATCAGCAAAATATTGAAAGTTATTTAGCCTAAGGATTGACATATGGGTACTCATTACACTATAGCCTCTTTTTGTGTATGTCTGAAAACTTTGAAAATAAAAACTTGAAGTAAACAATTTTAGTGGGAGGCCTTAGACTTGTCACAAAAAGCTAACATTGAATTTGGATCTTAGACTACAGCAAGAATCTTCGAGCAATGGGGGGAAGCACAGATCTTTTCTCGCTCTGTAACCACATCCCACCCCAACTTCTGCAGAGCTGCACCTGCCATGGATAGTACAGACAGAGCCTGAATTATTTTCACCTAAAACCAGTCATCAATTCTGTTGAAGTTTACCAAAAATTCAAAAAAACTACGAGTGACTTCCTCTTTTTCTCATTAAAACAATTTCAATGTTCTGATGAATTATTTACACATCATTAATCAACACACACTTTAGAATGCTGAAATGTAAGAGAATGACCACACAAAATGATATAGTTTAGAAGTTTGTCCCCTCCAAATCTCACGTTAACATCTGATCCCTGACATTGGGGATTGGGCCATCTGCCATCCTTGTTAAAGTATTCAATTACATACTTGGACCTGGAGAGGCTCAAGGAGATTTTGTTATAGGAAACCTTCAAGAAAATCCCCTATGTAGGGGGTCTGGGACATTGCACATAAACACACCTGCACATACACAAACACATACATGTACAATCACATATTCTATCATCAAGTAATGCCTCCTTCTCATCGACCAGACAGATGACATGCAGACTCTGAATCCTCTTTCCCAGCAAGATGTAACTAACCGCATGCTTTTCCCAGATACACCCTGCCGATCTGAAACAAGGAAGGAGCAACAAGCAGTGTCCACCGTTCAACTCACTTTTGCAGTTGGGCCATATGCAAGGCTATTTGCCAAAAAGCCCTCTTTGAGTTCTGAATTCCTCTGTGAGAATTCTGCTGGCATTACACGTACAATCTTAAATATATACATTAATATACACACTGCTCCACAAGTATAAAAACTTTCATATATATATATATTTAATAGATATATAAACACATTTATTTCTCATAAAAGATATTTAAAATTAAAATTAAACCATATATGGTTTAATGTTTCATATTTTATAGCTATTCCCCTATCACAAGTGATATAAAATTATATATAGGTTTTTATATCTCTAAAGGCCTCTGGGTGACCCTGTGAGCCACAGCAAACTCAGTGTGAGTTCAGGAAGTAGCAGGACTTCATCCTCAGCCAAAGGGTATGGGGTGTAGGCAACACATGGGTGGTGCTTGATATTGTAATTAATGGAGGGTAAAGAGGAGAAAAGTGCTTTGTAGTAAGTCCAAGCTCTTAGAGTCCTGCAACTTGCATCTCCTCGCCTGGTTTTGCCATGAGCTGAAAGTCATGCCTAATTTTGAAAGGCCTGCAACTGCAGTCTTCCTGCTTTTTAGAAAGAGCATTATTTCACTTTCCCATAAGATGGCTGAACAGTCACTCTTTCACCAAACATCTACCAATGGCAGATACCAATGGCAGTGTTACAAAGTCTACTGAACCCTGTAAGGAGCCAGAACAACATATAAAAATGTATACTTCATCTCTAATAAAATAATACACTGAGATGAGACACCAGGTGTTTCATCTGGATTTAGCAACTGTGCATTTGCCAATAATCTTATTCCGGTATTTGTCAAGGATTGTTCAGTCACAGGTGACCGAATCCCTATTTAAACTGACTATTTTAACAATATTACTCAATAATGTTTTGGAAGTATATGCTCCAGCAAAGCAAAATAAGTGGTACAAATATCAGAGAAAAGAATTATTTGCAGATGGTATTACATGTTGCATATCTAATGCATACTACAGAAATGAGAAAAGTTAGTAATGTGGCTGGATACAAGACATATATGCAAAAACCAAAACTTTACTTACCAATAGTCAGTTAAATGTAGAAATGGAAAAATTGCCCTGTGCACAAAAGTTTCAAAAATAATAAAATGCCAAGGAATAAATTTTAGTAAGAAAGATAAAATGCTTCTATAGTGAAAAAATTATTTATTTATATAGAACAAGAGCTGAATAGTGAGACATACATATTCCTGAACAGAAAGACTTAATAGCAAAAAGATGCCAATCCTTCTCAATTCATGAAAACCCTGTAACCCCACATGTAGCACTCTAGTTTACCAAGATAAAAGCAAGAATACAGAAATCTATTCACATAAGGAAAGTATTAAAGAATGTGTACATGACCTTATTCATAAAAGTAAAAAATGGAAAATGCCTATATATATCGATATTAACTGGTTAAAAAACTACATTACATTCAGAGCAAAAACTCTTATGCAATTATTAAAAGAACTTATAAAATCTGTATGCATTGGTCTATGAAGGTATCTACAATTCATTAGCAAGTGAAAAATGCAAGGTAAAGAAGAATATATCCAGCCCAATACTAGATTTTATTTTAACAAAATAGGTATGAGATTTACATTAGATATTGTGTATACCTAAAATATTTTTTAATGAAAAGAATGTATGCGAAACTGCTAAGAGCATTTCCTCTAGGGGGTCACATAGAATCAGCAAAAAAAGGGAAGCTTCATTTCTTACTTTGGTTTTTGGTACTTTTCTAAACATGGTATTTAAAAATGTAGCCTGAATATGATCTATAGTTTTTAAATTATATATACACACCTTCAAGAAGGGCAGTTTTATAAAATTTGATAACTAACAAGTGCATGCATTGGCACAAAATAATTTGTTAAACTGGAAAGAAATTTGAAATGCAACAAACAAAAATGTCAAATCACGGTTCATTAAGGAATCCTTTTTTAATTTCCAAAGCCAGATTATTCTTACTATGCTAAAGAAGAGATGACTTACCATAGGCAATGGCTTTCTCTGTTTGCAGTTGATACCACCAATGAATACTATGTTGGGCATCACAGGTCTGGGATAGTCCAAAACAAAGTCCGTTCGCAACAGCCAAATTGATGTGTGGCTGTAGAGATCATATGCCGTGACAGGTGTTTGGAGAATTTCAGAGGCTACTTCTAGGGCAGTTTTGAAAAAATGGTGGCAAAATAAATGCTCCTCCAAGTGCATGATGTGGTTCCATACTCTCTCCTTGAAAGTCATGGCATCTGAGAACCCTAAGAGACCTCTGGGGACATACGAAAGAGGAGCAGGGCACTGTGCACCTTCTTCAAGATAATGGCAAAGTATCCCCCTAGTGAAGACAACAGATGGAAGGGAGAAATATTTGGCAACAATTAAGCCACAGGCATCAAAAGGATCCAGAAACACCGCATCAAAAGAAGTCTCCTTTAAGTATTCTACTAGTTTTTTGTCCTTAAACAAACTCCTGCAATGTGAAAAAAATAAGTCAAAATTGCCACTGTATGGACTCACTAATAGAGAAAATATACTTTGTATTTGTTCTTTCCATTGACCATTGGCAAATGCCATGAACTCTCGGTCCTGATCCTCCAGAGAGTATGAGGTTGAGTAAGTCTTCACTGTGCAATTCAGGTTTCTTCCCAGTTGCCAACTCACCTCTGGCCTGACTACAACCACCTCATGCCCCCTGAGGATGAGTTTCTCCACCACCGACTGCATGGTGAACCAGTGGCTCCCATCCATGGGCACTACCAGCAGCTTGCCTGCATGGGCAAAGCCACAGGTTAGCAGCAGAAGCACACATAGGGAAAGGGGGCCAGTCCACCCTGCAGGAGCCATCAGGGAACTTTAGCCCAGAGCCAGCAGCTGGGATTCTAAGCTCCTATAATACAGTAGGCAGAATAATTACAGGTACAAAACCTGACCCCAATAGAGGGCGTGTATTTATCCTTTCATAAAAAAAAAAAAAAAAAATCACTCTCACTGCCAATGATTTACTCATATGAACAAGAATACATGAGTAGCCTTTGCTGAGATATCAACTTGTATGTTTTCCAGACAAGAGTAGCTTACAGTTTTTGCCTTGAAGGCAGATCGTGCCCTGTGCTGCAATGTGAGTTTAGAAGCAGAATTATTAAGCAATGCTTTTGGACCTTCAAAATTCAGAAAAATAAAGTGAAAGCAAATCTGAAGAAAGCTAATATTTTTGGAATTTGTCCCAATGCAAAATTTAGATGTTACCTTTAGACAACCAAATATTCTCTGCCAAGAAAGAAATTGGTATCTTATGTTTCAAGGAAAGACAACAAGGCCCCTAGCACTGACCTCCCAAGTGGCAAGAAATCAGGGCTCACCTGCGTCTCTGCAATGCATAAGAATTGCTACTTGTCTTCTTCTGTATCCAAACCCTGAGAGGCCTCCGAAATGCTGAAATGAGTTTAACAACCCTACCTCCATGGACCATACCAGGGACTTGATGGAAAGTGACCATCACCTATTTTAAATGGCTTTCCACAGATACATCACATGCCGTGAGGGGTTGGCAGCCCAATCCTTACATGAGCACTCTGCTGAGCTGCCACTCTGTGACCTCTCTACTTCCACACTCTAAACACACCATCACTCCAGCGCCCTCCTTCAAGAAAAGATGTTCTTGTCTCACTCAGTCTGCTGAGCACTCCTTAGGTCGGACATGATGTCATCTTTGTGTTTTCACCCTCCTTTCACAGTACCCATGCTATGCCTTTGACATAGTTTGTATGTTTGTCCTCTCCATATATTATGGTCAACTATAATTTCCAGTATTGGAGGTGAAGCATGGTGGGAGGTGTTTGGGCCATATGCATGAATCCCTTATGCATGGCTTGGCACTGTCCTCCCAGTAGTGAGTGATTTCTCATGAGACTTTGTTGTTTAAAAGTATGTGCCAAAACACTCTTCAGGATATCATCCAGCAAAGCTTCCCCAGCCTAGCAAGACAGGCCAACATTCAAATGCAGGAATTACAGAGGACACCACAAAGTTACTCCTCGAGAACAACCCCAAGACACATAATATGAGTTCACCAAGATCAAAATGAAGGAAAAATGTTAAGGACAGCCAGAGAGAAAGGTCAGGTTACCCACAAAGGGAAGCCCACCAGACTAACAGTGGCTTTCTCTGCAGAAACCCTACAAGCCAGAAGAGAGTGAGGGCCAGTATTCAACATTCTTAAATAAAAGAATTTTCAATCCAGAATTTCATATCCAGCCAAACTAAGCTTCATAAATGAAGGAGAAATGAAATCCTTTACAGACAAGCAAATGCTGAGAGAGTTTGTCACCACTAGGCCTGCTTTACAAGAGCTCCTGAAGGAAGCACTAAATATGGAAAGGAAAAACCAGCAACAGCCACAATTTGTTTTATTAAAAACATACCAAATTGTAAAGACCAATGACACTATGAAGAAACTGCATTAACAGTCAAAATAGCCAGCTAGCATCATAATGACAGGATCAAATTCACACATAACAATATTAAACTTATATGTAAACAGACTAAATGCCCCAATTCAAAGACACAGACTGGCAAATAGGAGAAAGAGTCAAGACGCATTGGTGTTCTGTATTCAGGAGACCCATATCACCTGCAAAGACACACATAGGCTCAAAATAAAGAGATGGAGGAATATTTAGCAAGCAAATGAAAAGAAAAAAAAAAAAAGCAGGGTTTGCAAATCTAGTCTCAGATAAAACAGACTTTAAACCAACAAAGATCAAAAAAGAACAAGAAGGGCATTACATAATAGTAAAGAAATCAATGCAGCAAGAAGGGCTAACTAGCTATCCTAAATATATTTTCACCCCACAGAGGAGCACCCAGATTTATAAAGCAAATTCTTAGAGACCTACAAAGAGACAGACTCCCATGAAATAATTGTGGGAGACTTTAACACCCCACTGTCAATATTAGATCAACCAGATAGAAAATTAACAAGGATATTCAGGACTTGATCTCAGCTCTAATAGACATCTACAGAACTCTCCACCCCAAATCAACAGAATATACATTCTTCTCAGCACCACATCGCACTTATTAAAATTAACAAGGAGAGTCAAGACTTGATCTCAGCTCTAACAGACATCTACAGAACTCTCCACCCCAAATCAACAGAATACACATTCTTCTCAGCACCGCATCACATTTATTTTAACACTGACCACATCATTGGAAGTAAAACACTCTTCAGCAAATGCAAAAGAATGGAAATCATAACAAACAGTCTCTTAGACCAAAAAGTGCTATCAAATTAGAACTCAGGATTAAGAAACCCATTAAAAACTGTAGAACTACATGGAAACTGAACCACCTGCTCCTGAATGACTACTGGATAAATAACAAAATTGAGGCAGAAATAAATAAGTTCTTTGAAACCAGTGAGAACAAAGATACAATGTATCAGAATCTCTGGGAAACAGCTAACACAGTGTTTAGAGGAAAATTTATAGCACTAAATACCCAGAGGAGAAAGCAGGAAGAACTAAAATTGACATCCTAATTTCACAATTAAGAGAACTAGAGAAGCAAGAGCAAACAAATTCAAAAGCTAGCAGAAGACAAGAAATAACTAAGATCAGAGCGGAACTGAAGGAGATAGAGATATGAAAAACCCTTCAAAAAATCAGTGAATCCAGTAGCTGGTTTTTTTTGAAAAGATTAACAAAATAGATAGACCATTAGCCAGACTAAAAAAGAAGGAAAAAGAAAAGAATCAAACAGACACAATGAAAAATGATAAAGGGGATATCACCACCGATTCCATAGAAATACAAACTACCATCAGAGAATACTATAAACACCTCTATGCAAATAAACTAGAAAATCTAGAAGAAATGGATAAATTCTTAGAAACATACACACACATATACACTCCTGCAAGAAAAACCAGGAAGAAATCAAATCCCTGAAAAGACCAATAATAAGTTCTGAAATGGCAGTAATTAATAGCCTACCAACCAAAACAAAACAAAAGAAAACAAAACAAAAAGCACAGGACCAGATGAATTCACAGCTGAATTCTACCAGAAGTACAAAGAGGAGCTGGTACCATTCCTTCTGAAACTATTCTGAACAGTAGAAAAAGAAGGACTCCGCCTCCCTAACTCATTTTATGAGGCCAGAATCATCCTGATACCAAAACCTAACAGAGATACACACACAAAAAAGAAAAATTTCAGGCCAATATCCCTAATAAACATCAATGCAAAAATCTTCAATAAAATACTGGCAAACAGAATCCAGCAGCACATCAAAAAGCTTATCCATCATGATCAAGTCTGCTTCATCTCTGGGATGCAAGGCTGGTTCGACATATGCAAATTGATAAATGTAACCCATCACATAAACAGAACCAATGACACAAACCACGATTATCTCAACAGAGGCAGAAAAGGCCTTCGATAAAATTCAGCTAAAAACTCTCAATAAACTAGGTATTGATGAAACATATCTCAAAATAATAAGAGCTATTTATGACAAACCCACAGCCAATATCATACTGAATGGGCAAAAGCTGGAAGCATTCCCTTTAAAAACCAGCACAAGGCAAGGATGCCCTCTCTCATCACTCCTATTCAACGTAGTTTTGGAAGTTCTGGCCAGGGCAATTAGGCAAGAAAAAGAAATAAAGCGTATTCAAATAGGAAGAGAGGAAGTCAAATTGTCTTTGTTTGCAGATGACATGATTGTATATTTAGAAAATCCCATCATCTCAGCCCAAAATCTCCTTCAGCTGATAATCAGCTTCAGCAAAATCTCAGGATACACAAGACCTAAAGCCATGCCAGGCAAGAGTTGAGTCATGGGCACCTACACTCAATCAATAAACTACTTTCCAACTGCCACAGAGTTTTTCTTTTTCTCTAGCAGCTAAATAAGCACAAGCCTAGAGAAAAACAATGTTAAACAAGTGCAGCTCCAATATACAAGTGCAGCTCCACCAGCCTCTTATCCAGTGAAAGCTGTATTTGTAGCTCATGGAACCCATTCCTTGTTCCATGAGCCACAAATACAGCTTTCATTGGACAAGAGGCTGATTTCAGTAACTTTCTCCTGGTAAGACAACCAGTGACCACAGATTAGTTCTGGCCAATTTACGGAGACTGTGAATTTGAGTGCCTTTGTGTCCTGAAGAGACCTTTTCATTTACAGGGTCTAATTGTAATCCATTTAAATGTGATGTCTCTATTCCAGGGTGAACATGGGTTGGATAGAACATGCATGTGTGTTCAATATGCATGCATCAGGACCGCCTTCATAAATGTTCATAGCTCCTCCTGTAATCTGTTGAACATGTATATTTAGCCAACCTGTTCATTATAAAGCTCCTACCCCTACCCCTCGTCCTTTCAAGGGCCCCTCTCTGGTCTTTTCCAGAAGCTATGCTTCCCAGCCAGCTGGCTGTAACGTTTTACAAGAAATAAAGAGTCCTTTTCTAAAACTTACAATTCTGTACTTTTTCAGTGAACAGAGGTGTAAAGGTGAAAGTGAGAAAACTGATCATAGCAAAAGGAAAACAATGATAGAGAGAATGGGATAGGGAACTGATACTTAACTAAAAGAAGTGTTAAGAGAACAGCTGGGTTCAAAGCCAACCCCATTCAGCATTGCTCTTGCAAGGATGCAGCTCCCTGAACCTCGGGACAGGAGAGACTTGCCTGACAGGCCCTCTGAGGCCAGAGAAGCATCCTTTCTTCAGGGAGACCAGGACAGTGATCACCTACCCAGATTTCACCCAACAAGAGAAGAGTCTGTGAAACTCTTGTGGGGCAACACACCAGACAGTTTCCTTTCTAACAGTTTTCTAGGACAAAATGACTTTATCTCCTGGCCTGGCTTCTTCGTGGAAGGGACTTGTC